AGCTCTACATTACGATGTCACCCGATGACCTTTGACCCCATCCAATCACTGAATAAATGTTTAGAACAGATAAATGTGTGGATGTGCCAAAACTTTCTCCAGCTGAACAGAAACAAAACTGAAGTCATTATTTTTGGACCTAAAGAGGAACGATCTAGAGCTATAGATCTAGAGCTATAGAGCTACAGCTATAGATCTAGAACTATAGAGCTACAGCTATAGATCTAGAGCTATAGATCTAGAGCTATAGAGCTACAGCTATAGATCTAGAGCTATAGATCTAGAGCTATAGAGCTACAGCTATAGATCTAGAGCTATAGATCTAGAGTTATAGATCTAGAGCTATAGAGCTACAGCTATAGATCTAGAGCTATAGAGCTACAGCTATAGATCTAGAGCTATAGAGCTACAGTTATAGATAAAAGAGTTATAGCTCTAGAGTCAATGCACAGCTTCAATTATTAAAACTAAAACCTAGAACCTTTAGCACAATGGATTAGAAAAAATACTAAAATACATGGCATAAAAATCAACCACAATGAACAAAAATTAGCGCTCTTCGCGGATGATATCTTAATCTACCTGGCAAGACCCCAGGAATCTCTCCCAGAATTAAATAAAGTCTTGTTGGAATATGGAAAATTTTCAGGGTACAAACTGAATTCCCATAAATCTCAAGTTTTAACTTTCAAATATTCACCCAGCAATATTGATAAGGAATATTTTAAAATAAATTGGAACATGGACTCAATGGTTTACTTAGGAGTGACCATTCCCAAAGACCCAAAGAATATTGTCTCGGCAAACTATGATCCATTAATGACCAAAATAAAAAATGATATATCCAGATGGAGCCTGCTGCCCTACCTGGGCCTCACGCAAAGAGTAGAAGCTATCAAAATGATGGTGCTGCCAAAACTACTTTACTTTTTTCAGACAATATCAGCAGAACCAGACAAATCTATGTTCCAAGAAACTGACAAACTGATTTCAAGATTTATTTGGCAAGGGAAACAACCAAGAACCAGATTTAAAACTTTACAGCTGAGTAAAAGTAAAGGAGGCCTCTCTCTTCCAAACATGAGCAACTACTACAAAGCAGCCCAAATAAACCCTTTGGTGGAGATCTGTGACCCCTCCTACAAAGCAAGATGGAAGGAGATTGAATGCTCAAATAGCGGTGTCCCTTTGCAGGCAGCAATTGGGAATATTGACTTAATAAAAAACTTTAAGGAACTTAATCCCTGTTCTGAAACAGCACTTAAGACCTGGTCAAAGCTAGTAAAAGACAACAGAGTCCTGTTTACCAATCAGATGGATAGCATATGACCAAGGTTTTACCCCAAATAAAATAGATAATACCTTTAAAAGATGGATTAACAAGGGTTTAGTAAAATACAATGATTTGTATCATAAAGGCTGTCTGAGGACCTTTCAAGACATTAGGCAAAAATATGACATTGATAACAGGGACTCTTTCCGTTATCTACAAATCCGGCATTATTTAGACAAAACAAATACAGAAGATCCAAGCAGAGCATTTGTTGGAATATTAAATATCTTTCGAAATCATATCAATCAACTTCCACTACTAAATTAATATCCAAAATGTATGATGAGCTACAAAATCTGGAGGGAGGGGACACGCTATATATTAAGGAGAGATGGAACAAGGAAGGGAACCACCAAATTCACATTGAAGACTGGTTAGATATTTTGAATAACTGCTGGAGATGTACATCTTCACTAACATATAGAGAATTTGCTTGGAAAACGGTTACACGCTTCTTTAAAACACCAGCTCAAAGGGACAGAAATGCAGATAAAACATGCTGGAGGTTATGTGGATCGGAACAAGCAGACCACTTTCATATTCTATGGAGCTGTCCTAAGTTGTCTTCTTACTGGAGGACAATTAAACAAAATGTGGAGACTGTTATTGGAGCCAATCTTACACTAAACTTTGAGATTATGCTTTAGGCAAACGTCCAGATTGTGTAAAGGGATTCTGTAAAACATATATTTTCAATATATTACTAATTGCCAGTAAAAAAGCAATTACTCGGAAATGGATGACGGACAAAATACCCACATTAGAAGACTGGACAAGCATCATTCAAGACATTTGCAAGATGGAGGAATTGACATTTGCATTGAAACTGGAGCAAGACAAATTTGAAAAGTGTTGGACCCCATGGTGGACTTTTATGAATACCAGATCTGAAGCTAATGAGATTGTGGTGACACCCATTGTTCCTTAGCTACTCTGTTGAACCCTTGGTTTTAAGGGTCGGAAAAGTTATTCTAGTGTTGATACTGACTTGTTTTTCTCTTCCTCCTCTCTTCCTTTGAGAGGAGTGACGAGGAGGGGGAAAAAAAAGGGAACACTAAATACTGGAGATGGACAATCACAAGAAGGGGTTAACTGTATTGATTAATATAACAAACTGAATAGATGATCGTGTACAGGTCAATATCATCTTATGTGAATGGACGAGATGTATATTTTCTATGTTGTTCCTTAATAAAAACTTCATTAAAAAAAAACCCACTAAAAACTATCGATCAGGCCTGAAACCTGGGAGTAGTGATGGACTCGGACTTGAACCTTGCGAGCCACATAAAGACGATTACAAAGTCGGCCTTCTATCACCTGAAGAACATCTCCAGGATTAGAGGACTAATGTCTCAGCCAGATCTGGAGAAACTCATTCATGCGTTTATCTTTAGTCTCATTGATTATTGTAACAGTGTCTTCACAGGTCTGTCCAACAAATCAATCCTCCAGCTGCAGCTGATCCAGAAGCTGCTGCTCCTGTTCTCACTAAAACCAGGAAGATAGAGACATAACAGCAGTTTTAAAGTCCCTCCACTGGCTCCCTGTAGCTCAAAGAATAGATTTTAAAATACTGTTGTTAGTTTATAAATCACTGAACGGTTCAGCACCACAATACATCAATAAACCTTCCAGAACCCCTCTGGTTCTGGTTCTGGTTCTGCTGTGCAACAAGCAGAACCAGAACCAAACATGGAGAAGCAGCGATCAGCTTCTATGCATCACAAATCTGGAAAAGACTTCCAGAAAACTGCAAAACAGTGAAGTTCCTTTAAATCTAGGCTAAAAACTGCTTAGAGTTGTACTGCTTAGAGTTGTATTTGAACATAATCATGAAACATTAATCAATAATTTCCTGCGCAAAATATAATGTTGTTGACTGTGTGTTGACTTTGTATTTTTGTGTTTTATGGTGTAAAGCACATTGAAATGCCTTGTTGCTGAAAGACGCAATACAAAGAAAATTGGACTGATTGATTGACGTACAAAATTCTTATCAGTGCTTTTCTAAACTGTGACATGATTTTGAGACAAAGTGAAGGTAGCTGAACTCTTTATTAGAGGCAACCATTAGTAGCACAAGAAGACACAAGTTTTCAATACTCTGCCTCTCTGTTATAGCAATGAATCTGTTAATTACATTACCACATGAAGTAGCCCCACTCTCTGACCAGCAAGGACCACACCACAAAGAAATAGGTTTAAAGATTTATTGATGAAGGGATGAATGATTGTGATTCAGTTATTGGGAGAGTTTGGGAGGTGAAGACAGCATGGGACCCCCAGACAAAATCTGCAGCAAAAAGAAGCTGTCAGGTTCTGTGTTTAATTCCAAGTTTCTGTGTCCTGAGTCTCCTCGTTGTCCTGTCTTCCCCTTGATTGTTCCCAGGTGTGTCTCGTTCCCCTGATTACCCTCAGTGTATTTAGTCCCTCCTGTGTCCTTTGTTCCTCGTCGGGTCCTTGTCGTTGATTGTCAATTGTCGTTGTCCTTTGTTTTTGTCAGCCGCCTGTATGACCAGTTGCTACCGGCGTTGAGCCCTGGCTTCCGCTCAGCCGTGCTGCCTGGCCGCGGACTCTGTTGACTGTGTTTTTGTGGACTATTTTCATTAAATTACTCACCATTCACCTATCTGGGTCTCCAGCGTGCTGCCTCACCATCTCACCACCACCATTCTATGACAGAAGCAAAGCCTGGTTATGAATGAAGAGGGGTGAAATGAAAGAAGCAAAGGGTTAGGGAGGGTGAGATGAGTGGGTAAGCACAGTATAAAATTAGAGGTGTGGTTTGGGTGTGGAACTGCTCTTGAACTTAAGTTAACACATTAACTTCACAATCATAAAAAAACAAGAAACAAATCATTTTTAAGCTCACTAAACTCTTTGTAGCAACAAAGTCAAGGAAGCACATTTACATGACTGAAACATTTAGCAATAACTGTACTGACTGCATACTGGGGAAAATAAATTACTTAATGTGACATGTAATTATGTTAATCCTCAAACTTATGGTTTTGTCCACTTTTACCTTTCATCAAGTTAGATTAAATAAGCAATGATTTGCTTCCATAAAACTATTCTGATATGTAAGAACTTTGCCAACCCTTTTGACTTGAAAGGAGAACCAGATGTTACATTTGTTATGAAATATTTTTAAATTCTAACTCGAATAAAAATAAAATTCAGAACATGTGCGTGATGCTTGAGTCATTTTTTTTATTATTGTTTTTTATTATTTTGTTTTCATGTTTCATTTATTTCAGCTTTGATTCAACTGTTTAGTTCCTATTTATTGATTTTTAGCGCTAATCTGGGCAGCGTGAGATCAGGCTTACAACAAACATTCACAATGAAAAGATAACATGAGAAGCATGACTGAAAGATTTTATGTTTTTAATAGCTGTCAAGTTTGAGCATAAAAGCTTTTTTTCATAACCTTTGATTGTTGTAGCTCTAGAACTCCTGTAGAGCTCGTCTGTCTGTCTGTCTCAATGTGCTAAAAGTGTGTCCCTTCTTCTTTATTCTTCTATGTGCTTTTTTCAACTGTTATTGCCACTTTTTGTCAGATTACTTTCACTTTTTCTGAATTATGCTTTTACTGATGACTACTGTCACTCTAATGTTGCAGAGTTTCATATCTCTAACTGATTTCAATTTTCTGTGGCAGAAATCTCGCAGCGATGTTGGCAACTTTGACAAGGAGTTCACCAAGATGGCGGTGGAGCTGACACCGACAGACAAACTCTTCATCATGAACCTGGACCAGAATGAGTTCCAAGGCTTCTCCTACACCAATCCTGAATTCGTTGTACAAGTCTGAGGACATCCCGGTGGTTAGATGAGGCACAGAAAAAATAATCCAAACAGCTCAGCTCTAGTACTGTGCAAAAGTTTTCAACAATTCCATATCATTTACACTATTTCTGCCAAATTGCCTTGGAATCTTATAACCTCAGTAAAAACTCTCCCCTCTTTCTGAAGGGCTCTAAAAGCTTTTCTTTGGACATTCACTGCTTTTTTTTTACTCCTTTTATCTGAGCATGACATCTTCTTGACAAGATTACTTCATGAAATAAATGTTGGCCAAGTTAGTCAGATGTCTTCGATTCACTGCATTTTATATAGCAAATACTGGTTTAAAGCACCATTACCAAAGGTTCACTAGATGTTAGAAAAAGATTTGGACTAAAACATTAGGTCAAACAACAGCTTCAACATAAATGCTTCCTATGTGGAGCTTTGCTTAAAGGGATGCAGTTCAGCTTCTAAAACAGAAGAAACAAAGACAATTTTGTAGTAGCAACTGCAGTGTGTTATTATCAAAGTCATAAAAACCTTTCAACTGATTTGTTCATTCAAATTTGCAACCCTCATCTGTACCAGAGTTAGCAGGAGGTTTTCTCCAAATTTTCTCGATGATTCTCTGTGCTGAGAAATGCTGTTTTTGTCTGGCTTAGCAAATGGGTAAAAGATCTTATCCTCCCGCAGATATCATGTTTTAATAAAGGAAAACATGCTGCTCGCTAGTTTTAAGCACTGGTCTGTTGACATGCATGCAGCTTTTTCACTTGTTAAATTGTATATTATCAACTTCATTTGACTAATTTGCTTTGATTTTTCAAGGTCAACCAGTTGTTCTTGTAGCCCCACAAAAACTCTTTCAGCATGTTTTAGTTCAGTCACTCTTTCAGTGTCTAAGTATTTTTATGCATAAGTGATGACTATAATGACAAAGAAAATTTCTGCATACTGGAGTAAAACTGAGAGGAATGAGATGCCAAAGTCCAAAGAAAACTTCAACACATCTTCAAATAATAAACAGAACCGTTTCTTCAGACTATATTCCATAGTTTCCTGAAAAACAAATGATGAAGGAATGATGGATGATTCAAGTCTTTTGCACAGTACTGCATATTTTGCCACTAACCTAATTGCATGCCAGGAAGACAAATTGACACCATGTCATTTAAACACTTATATTTTTACTGGGAGTGATTATGAGAATTTTCTTCAAACAGAAGAATCCCACAAATGACCTTCTACCAGAGTGGTGATGTTCACATCTCCAGGAAACAGCAGCAGTAGATAACGTTCACATGACTCACCATTTACAGCCAACATGTACCTTTGCGCTATGTTGATCATGAATAGTGTGTATGTTTACTTGATTTCCTTCTCCTATGCTAGCGAGAGTGAGGTCATGAATATTTTATAATCAATAAGTCAAACATGGCAACATGTCAGAACTGACAGGAGTTCAGAGGGGTGCAAGATTCAGATCTGGGATTTATAACCTCATGTCTAAGATAGTCCTGTACTTAGTCTTAAGCATGCCTTGTCTTCCAAATTGATGCAAAAAAAGAAAAACCTATTATCTTTCTCACATAGTCTCATGACTGTTTGCTTTGCAGTGGGTTGGTGCTGTGTAGGTCGTTACAGTTCATGTGGTGGAGCTCCTCTATGCATGCCATATTTGTTGGTACTGTAGTTAAAGATTTTTACACTGAACAAAAATACTAATGCCCCATGTCAAATATTTTATGAACATTTGGGTTATTGTTATGTGCCTTTTTTCCCTAGATTATTTGTATTAATTTTAGTTGAATATTTTTTTCTTTTGTTTAATACTTTGGAGTTTGGATAATTCCTTTCTTGTAATTTGTCTCGTTAATTTGTGGCTGTTGGACCGCCTATAAATAGGCTGGGTTGCGTCAGGTGAAGGGCGATGACCACCACCAATCACCACTGAGAATGCGATCTGACGTGGTGAGCATATCTCTACTCGTACCTGACGTCTCCAGCCTGCCATGTGGTATTTTTTTATTCGCTCTTTGTTTGTCTGCTGGTTTTTGTTCATTGTGAGTTTGGCCTGGTGGGACCGATTGTCCTGTTTTCGATTTACTTCTTTGCAGTAGATTCCATGTTTCGGTAGTCTGGTACTTGCAGGGGCTTCGACGGGCCTGTAAAGGGTTGGCCCCCTGCTGTACCGTTTTGTTCTTTTTGATCGCCTTATCAGGTCCAACTTTCTGTTCATACTTTGGAATTTTTGGTTTCTTTTTCCTTTGGGACATGGGGAACTGAGGATTCAATTCTCTTTTTTCTTCCACAGGAAAATCAAAAGAAGCAGAACCAAAAGAAATGGTCAAGAGAGTTTTGAAACAAAATTACTTTTTGAATCCTCAGTTTTGCCTACATGTCCTCAAATATGTTGTGCCCTTTGTGGACGTAACAGTTATGCAATATATAGAGAAACTCAAAATATATTTTCAGTAATTACTGATCTTCATATCAGCATTAATAACATCATGGTATGTCTATTTGTAGCAGATTGACAGTCCTTTGAACATGACAGAATGAATGAAGAATTCGATTTTGACCAAGTTGGCTTCCCGTATGCAGTCTGACATGTCTATTGTGCAGACCAATAGTTTCATTAGTCGTGTGTGTCGCTGGTCGTAGCCGATCCTGCAGATAGACGAGTCGGATGTGGGGATCTTGTGCTGGAGTGGTCACATGTGGCAGATGAGGATGAGGTCGATTTGCAGTAATGTCAGTCTGTTGGAAACCAACTCTTAAACGGCCTATGGTCCCATAATGGACATTGAGCCGTGCAGCTACTGCTCTGGTGGACATCCCTGCATCCAACATGCCAATGGCACCTTCTGCATAACTTGCGACATCTGAGGAATTATTAGTTGTGACAAAGTTTGACATTTTGGGGTGGCCTTTTATTGACCAGTCCAATGGTTGTCCAGTTGTTGCTCATTTTATCTGATCATGCAGTGGACATGTCCCACCCATGAACTGAGTAAAAAAAAAACAACTCGCTGAGTAATGCTCACCGACAGCCAATTGGACTAAAAATTATTCACACATAAAAGAAATATTGCTTTTGCACAATAAAAGTCAGCAAATGCTCATTGACAGTTAACTCCACATGGAAACAATAGTTGACATGTGGTGTTTATGTTTTTGTTCAGTGTGTTTTTGTTTTTTGACAACATGGAGGAGAAAACCTTGTGTCCTGAATGTCAGTTCTTGAAACTTCACATGTGAATTCTGCTTTCATTTCCTCCCCAAAATGCTGAAAAGTCCACTGCTTCAAAAACTCCTGGGAGATGATGAAATTTCAGGAGAAAAACTTAAGAACTTGATGTATACTTCTGTAAGACTTGTGTTTCAGTGTATGTGTCAATATGAGCGAGGAATTAGAGGTAGGTGTGTTTTTCTTGTAATAATACAATTCTCTACTATTCCTCACAGTCCAGCCACTTTGCATTTTTTCCCCCACACAGTTTCAGAGTTATTCATATTTGTCTTCCACTTTTTATCTTTTCCACTTTCTGGCTTTAGAATTTGCACTTTATTGTTATAAATTCTTTTTTCCTACTTCTGTACCAGAATCACATCTTTATTTTAAGGTAATGAAATGATCAAGTCAATATTTGGAAATAAGAAGAGACTTACTATGCAAAAGAAAGAAGGTCAAAAGGAAAAGAAGAAACCCTGAGAGAATAAAAGGACATAATAGATATGATGCATGCATCATCTTTAGCTGAAGAGACAGATACAAAAGACATTAAAATATTATCATACAATCAGTTCTGTAATTTTGTCTTTTTGCTTCACATCTGTTTGCAGATTCATGACCTAATAATCAAACCACACATTAAAAAAATTGATGGTCACCTGGCTTACACATTGTGTCCATTTCTAAAAAAAGACTTTCTCTGATATAATCAGCAGCTTTAAGCAGTTATCATCTTTCCTGCTGTAGTCTGAAACACAAGTTTGGCCCAGAATCAAACTTATGTAATAGTTCTCAGCGTTTTTCCTACCAAAGTGATTACAGTTCTTAATCTGGAGCCATAAAAGGGGAATACATATTAGAAACAACGTGGTACATTTGATCTGTTCTAGCAAATCATGAATAACAGTACAGCAGTTCAGCTACACAGCTGACAGTGTTTATCTCAGTATCCTTGCATACAATCCCATATTAACACCAGTTTGTTTTCATTCAACCTTGTTTTGTATGTCAAAGTCAAACTATCTGTTGATCTCTGACAGCAGGTCTCTGCTCACAATCGCCTTGTTTTGTTTAAAACGGCATTTATGAATCAAGTTGTTACTGAAGGAAACCAGGCTGATTCAAACTATTTCATACACATTTTTTCCTTTATGTGTCTGCATTTTTGTGCGGACAGTAAATCAACAGCAGCTGTGCATTTTGTTCAAACATTAACAGCCAGTGCACAACTGCTTTCTAAAATTGATTTGTAAAACAAGTTCTCTCAATGATCTATATTAATGAATTGAACATCACATGACTTACTGTGGAACAGAACGTCACATGCACCATCGCTTTGCAGGGAATATCAGGGAGGTGATGCAATCAAGCATCACCTCCCTGACCACGTTATCAATGTCAAGACAGATAACATGGTCCAATGGAATCACATTACACAAGTCAACAAAAAAGTGTGTAAAGAAAGTGGAAAGTAGCTTGTAGCTTGACTTTGACAACCTTAACATGTACCTGTTCTGCGCAGTTCGGTGTGTTTCCGTTCAGTTAACACAAAATGAAGGCAACCCACACATCAACTTTCTGACAGATTATCGGTAGAGCAGCTAATTAACCACAGCTAGTATGCAGGCGATTACTTCTTCTTCCATATTCTTACACCCTTTGGGGTACAGAAAGGTGCTGCTGTCTATGTTCAGCTGTCAACGGTCGAGAGGCAGGGTCACCCTGGACAGGTCACCAGTTCATCACAGAGACAGACAGGACAAACAACCATGCACACATATCCACACCTAAGGAGAATTTGGAGAAGGGAAGCTGGAGTACCTGGAGAGAACCCACCATGAACACAGAGAACACATGGAAACTCCATGAAGAAAGATCCTGGACTGGGAATCAAACCCAGGACCTTCTTGCTGCAAGGCAACTGTGCTACCAACAAATGTTCCCTCTAAGCTGCGCCTGCACAATCGCGCACTGCTCGCATAATCTCAGCGCACAAGAAAATCTATGTAGCGCATAAAATAAAGTCCAAGGTAAACTGGACATTGAGCTCAGACATCAGCTTTGACTATGGACCAATAACATTTTTTTGTACGACTTTGCAATGGAACTCAGTGAGTGACAGGAATCCAGCCAATGATACGGTACGGTTCACTTTGGCTACGCAGCCAATCATCACATGCTATATGTGCTGTGGCACCATGCAGGTGAGAATAGTGCGGCGGAGTTAAGAGACGTGAAAGCATTTATCATGTCTAAGTGGGACATCCACTCATCAAGCCAAAGTAAAAAAAAAAGGAATGCACTTCTTCTAAGATCAAATGGCTGTTGGAGTTTTACAAATAGAAGAACAGTACAGTGTACAGTGGAGGGACCGTGTCAAGGAGGCAATGACATGGGGCAGAAATTGCCCCATTGCAATTTCTGCCCCATCATCTCATAAGTTGATGGCAGAAATGCAAGCATACATGGATGAAGGACGAACCCTATCATAACACTAACATAACAATAAGGAACACAATGCAACTTATAACAAACACACATAACCATGTGGGCCCCAGCAGAACTAAAACACAGAATCGTTACAATAACTTCAATTAAGCAACTTCACTATATGACAAGCACATCAGCCACTGCGGTCTGAAGGCACAGCTTCATAAATTCTTTATGGGTGTGGGAGGGTCACGTCTTCCGCTCCATGTCTGTCTGTGCAGGAGTGTTGATTATAACCGGCCAAATGACCGACAGTCTTCAAATTTTCCAGTTGTTTACAAAAAGAAAACAGTCAAATATGGAAAATATTCTGTTAAAGCGACCTCTGTTACTCATAACACAGTTTTACAGAGTCATCACTTAAGCATCCCACAGAGGGACATTAGGGACAACCCCAAAATATACTTCATGGGAAATGTGAGATTTTTCATGTTAATTTCTGACACACTTTGATCTAAGAATTTTCTATGTTCTTTGATAAATTGTATGTTTCATGCTCATTAAGGGATACATTTTCAACACATTTTAAAGGAACTGGTTACTGTATGCTAATTGATGACGCTCTGAGCTCATGGTCTCACCTCTGGAGCCCCTGGACAACGGGGGTCCAGACATGGACAACAGGAGGTTGAGTGTAACTTGAGTGTTGAGTGTGTTAAGTGTTACTGTATGTTAATTGATTATGAACAATTAACATATATGAGCTCATGGTCGAGTTGGGGGCAGGAAAGTAGCCTTCTGATTGGCTAACCCGTCTGGGAGAGGGGAAATGGCCATTCCCTTCTTTCATTCGAGGTTGTTTGGTAATGAGTATAAAGGCAGAAAAGTCTCATTGTTTGGTAGAGTCTGCTGTGGGTTACGTACGGAAGCCCAGTTACGTGATGCTGTAGCTCTGGCCGGACTGTCGGCTCTCCAGTTCACTGTGTCACGGTAAGAGCGGATTGAAAGAATTTAAGCATTACATATTTTTTGTTGTGTGAATGAATTTGCTGTAATCTGTGGCGGAATAAAAGGACACATTTATTCTATCAGAACAACGTGTTGTCATTATTTATCACCGATCATCCCCGATCCTGCCTAAAATTTTACAAAACAACCTGGAATGCAACTTTTGCCTTGTGGAGCTGTTGTCTGTCGATTGCCATTGCAACGGCTCTGCGTGGCACGTTAACCTGACAGACTGTGAAAAGTAACGAAAACAGATGTTCTCCGTTTGAGTTTCTACTTTTTTTCTTCTCTGGACGAATTGCATCATTTGTTCATAGAATGTGGCAATCATCAAAAAGAATGAAATATCAAAAAGAAAAGGAGACAAATATTGTAATTTTTAAATCATGGCTCATACTGCAGCAATTAAAATGTAATTATTGGCCAATGCAAAAGAGAAATTTGCTAGTCCTATCTTGTATTTTGGCAAACAGACTGTTTATAGATTTGTATGTAGATAGAATTTATATTTTACATATCCAATCATCTGCACTTTTGTCAGCTTTAATTTTTGCCACATCTAACAGAAATTGTATTATTTTCCTACTCTCCAATTGCCCCAACCAACCCCAAAAAGTCCCACTGAAAATCTCAACAACAACACAGATGTGACTTTGAAATTGGTGACTGACTTTAGTATGATATCTGTTTTTCATTAGAACACAGAAACATGGACAGCCCCAGAATGCCGGGTGAGACAGAAAAAGATATGAAAATGAATTAAAATCTGTCTTAGTGTACAATTTCAGAGTAAGTAGGTATGTTTGCCATATTAAAGACACATCATATGTCATCTGCTCTGTGTAATTCAGCAGGGCAGGTCTGTGGAATCAGAAACGCATAATTGAAAAATATAAAGTTTGCACTGACATGGATTCATTTGGCTTACAGCCAAATGTGTAAGAGAAGTTGTGTATTCAGTTTTTTTTAATTCTTTAATAAATTTTGTGATTGCTACGGATTCCAATTTTGTCGTTTATGAGCAGTCAATACACAATGTTATTGTAATAATTCTTCACAAAAATATTACTGAATTTTGTAACTGCATATTTGCTCAATGTAGGCAAGCATTGAGCAAATATGCAGACTCATTCCAAAAATTTAAATATGACTGAAAAGTTCATTTTTCATAACCAAGTGAAAGATATAATATAGATTAATTGGATGACTGGTGTTTTAACATCTTTATATCTCTTATTAGGTCTAATACCTACTAAAAGCTTATTTTCATAATGTACAATTAATCTGACAACCTTTTCATAGACATAGATAGACTTTATTGTCATTCTATTGTACTTTTAAAATGCGCATATTAAGCGACATTTTGTTGCAAGGCTCCAATAGTAATAGGTTCTTCTCATTTTAAGTTCTGAACTTATGTGATATGTATATCAGCGCCTCCTCATGTCCCCTTTCTTCCTCTTCACCATCATGCGTAGCAACTTGCAACACAAAGTTAAGTTACACCTTTAGTAATCCATGGTTCTTTATTTCCCTCTCTTCTCTTGTTGCTCTACATCAGGGGTCCCCAAAGTGGGTCCTCAAGGGCCGGCATCCTCCATGTTTTAGTTCTCTCCTTGGTGGTAGTGACAACCTTTTTAGAATGTGAATGTTCTTCTTGGACCTCTAGCGAGCCATCATTTGATCCAGGTGCGTTAAATCAAGGAGAGAACGAAAACATGCGGGATGCCGGCCCTCCAGGACCCACTTTGGGGACCCCTGCTCTACATAGTGAGAGCACTGCTGGTCTCTGTGACCCAGTGGGCTCCCTGCATCCTTCCTAATAGGACATACCCACCCACACACCCACACACACACACACACACCCCCCCCCCCCCACACAACACACCCACCCACACACACACACACACACACACACACACACACACACACACAAACCCTTCCCCCCCCCCCCCACACACACACAAACCACCCCCCACACACACACACACACACACCCATGAGCTCCACTCACTGGTAGGCGGGGTTATGACTCCAGGCTCCATTGATGTTCTCTCTTCTGTAAGAGCAGCAACGCGTCTGTTTCTCCTCTCTGCCAAAAAACTTGGAGAGATTATTGTTGAACAAAGCTTGACGGACTTGACTTGAAGTGTTTTGCGCTTCCTGTAGAGGACAATGTTCTCCACACCCGCCGTCCCTCAACTAATTGGAGTCGTATAGATCAGACAATTGGAACCAGTTCTGGTCGGCTTCTGAATCCAGGAGTGTGAGTCTTCAGTTGAAACTGCTCGGCTTCAGGAAGTGAAGGTGTGTCAGACCAAGATGAGGGTTTGCAACAGGGGCATGATGATGCTTCTGACCACAGCGGGGGCTTTCTGTGCATTCAGCCTCATGACCATCGCAGTGGGCACAGACTACTGGCTCTACTCCCGCGGGATGTGCCGCTCCAAGAACCTGAACGACAATGAGACCGTCCACAAAAACGAGGAGGTTCTGACTCACTCGGGACTTTGGAGGACCTGTTGCACCGAGGGTAGGATTCAAACTCACATGTTCATGCAGAAATCTGATTATCACTTGGCGATGCAAGGTAAACTATAAAAGCACGGCAAAAATTGCCTCTATGCACAGAGTTCAAATTGCTGTGTTGTCACATAGCAGAGTAGGCCTACAGTGTTGAGACTTGAATGTTGTAACTCAACACAATTGTGTTAACATAAGAATATGGGTGTTTAATGTCAGAGCTGTCGCTTTTGAACAGCAGTAGTGTAATCTGGAACATCTGGCTACTGGACCAAGTTTGCTAATGGAAGAATCTCGGCAACGACATTTTCTTTTTCCTCACTTGGATCACGAGGGTGGAGGAAATTTGTAAGTAGAAAACATTTTAATATCGATTTTCGGTCATTTATAATCATTGTTGCTGATTATGCACCAATATTGCGGTTTTCTTTAAGCTTTTGGTGAAAAGACTGAAGCTCAATGAATTTTAAATGCATTGCTTTTGCTTTCAAACTCAGAAAGCAACATGGCCTCCGTCAGTTTTGTGGCGGTTTATGTAAATAAAAGCTGTGTTGGCAGGCGGGTCGATAGTTTTACTAAACTAGCTTCGTCTGGTTACGACTTCGAACATAATTCTCCGTTTAAATATACCTGGTATGGTGGATAATGTGCTGCTAGCATGTGTCTACACTGAAACACCATAAGCCATTTCAACAAGATGCAAAAGTTAAAGTATCTGCGAGCTACTGGTACAACGACTAAGTTTTGTTGTGTGCCGTTGTGTTCAGTAATTAGCCGGCACCATCCAGTGCTTAGTTTTATTCATTTTCCTGTTGAGATCAGGATGACGGCGGATCGTAGCAAAACTTAGCCACTAAAGCTAACACACGGTTTGTAGCTGCCTGGTATTTCAAACTAGAGGATACTGAAGATCCATCGTCAGAAAGGGGAAAACGGCGGATAAAAGGGAGCTGTTCGTGATTCGTTCGCTGGAATAATTTGTTGGAGGAAAATAATGCGGGAGGAAATATACTGCTACAGGAACAGGCTGAGAACAGAGGCCGCGATTCGGCACAAGGTAAGTCGATGTGTGTTCATAAATGTGTTTGTGTTACACCGAGTATGAAATTATTTTTATTACAATGATATTAAATACAGTTAACATGCAGTCGGAGTGCCCCTCCGACACCGAGCAGAAAACCAGAGGGCAGCAACACTTCAGCCTGAAAATGATTCAATTTTTCTGTTCCACCAACACCGAGCAAACATGGTCCAAACCTCACAGGCCTGTCAATTAAAAAAACAAAACGTTTCCTTTCGAGCTGTACAAGTGTCACGGTGTAACAAGTCATTATATTGCTTAGTGGGTGTCACCACAGGAGGGCGCCTATTCCCTTTTTGCGTTGTAGTGCTGTTGTAGTAAGTAAAAAGTCCTCTCTCTCTCTGTTTCTGTCTCTGTCTCTTTCTGACTGTCTCAGTCTCTCTCTCATGTTGTAGAGATAATCATTGATGGTGCGGTGTGGTTGTCTGTCTTTATTATTCTCATGTATGAGATTATGATGTTAGCACATGGAGAAATAAATCGAAAAGTGTGGAATATTTGTTTAAGTACTGTTTAAGTAAACAGTGTTGGCTGTTTCGGGTTAGCGTGGCTAACCACCACTGCTAACTCCTCCAACCTCGCACCGCACCGTCACAACGGCTCCACATAAAAAAATCCACGGAACATGTCCGCCTACAAATACTAAAGAATCGCTTATTTCCCGATTCCCCAAAAATATGACTTTGTACCTTTAATGTTTTATAATTATAATCCACGTTAGAATTTCACTCAGCTGCTATAATCTGTTCTTGTGTTACACAAGAAACGGAAAAAAGAACATTTTTTTTGCCTTTGTTTTTTCACAGAAATTCTAATTAGAAAAATCCAGGGTTCGTACTGGTCACAGAAAACCTGGAAAGTCATGGAATTTTATTTCAGGAAATGGAAAGTTATAGAATTTGGGAATAAGGTAAAAAAAATTCCGTTTTTCTGTGGTTCTCGTCTTGGACTCTACCGCATTTGGTCTGGTCTTGGTGTCGGACGAAAGACTCTGGGTTTCATTTAAAGACCACAAGTGTGAAAATGTCACTAAATTGCCAGCATATTTTCCAGTTTATTTAACATCCTTGTTTTCACTGGATGCAAAACATACCAATTTAAATCCAAGCAATAAAGTGACTTAATAATTACATGTTTGTTACAACCCAAGGCATAAGCAAACCAAGCAGCCAATTAGGACCCCAGGGCCACTAAGGGCCCCTCTCAGTGGAGCTAATTAATTTCTTCTTCTTTTTTTTTTCAGTGATAATGTGAATCAACCCTGTACTGGTACCAGTCCACATTCTCAGGGGAGGAAAACTCACCTGCAAATTTGTAGCTAGAAGAGAAATTTATTTAATCAAAGAATGTCATGAATATGTGTGTATGTACTCCATTTTAAGTTGGGCTGCACCGATTGCAGTTTTCTGGCTGATCCCCAGTTACAGATCTTTAAAAAGATATCAACAAACAAAAATCCTCCTCTTCTCAAAATGTTAGCTTTGCTAACGACGGTCTTACGGTCCCATCAGAACCTGGAGTGTTTCTGCTCTGATGTCTTCTTAGTCAGAAACGGTAGAATTGCGATATCCTTCGCAAGTTGCCAGTGTTGTATAGTAACAAAGTAAACTATACTTAAGTAAAGTAGTGAAGTAAAAATACTTCACTACTTTACTTAAGTATATTTTGGACTACTTCATACTTTCCTCGAGTATGAACATTTTTGATAACTTTCACTTTTACTTCACTATATTTCCGAACTTAATTGCATATTTTTACTCCGATCCATTTTCAATGTGTGGTTTAGTTACTGGTTACTGTGACGGAGGAGCCGTCATGAGTTAGGACCTAATTAAAGAGTTAACACACACACACACACACACACAATCACTAACTTATGTTTTGTTGCAGCTTGGACTGGCGCGGTTCATCGTGGGTCACACGCGGTGTTCCCGCTTCAGTTAACATTAATCCTTATCTGTTATTTTCAAACATTTTCCCGGCTTCATTTTCAATTGGCTTGTTTCCGGATTGTGACGCACAGGGAGAGAGTTGTGTGATGTGGTGACATCATCAGAATGTACTGAGTGTTGGCTGTTAAATTGATGATTGTATTTTTTGGATTGCAAGTTTATTTTATTTTTTTTTTATTATTAATTATTTTGTATACTTTAACAATTGATTTGAGTTAGGAGTAATTGATTTGACTTTCTGTGGGTGGAGCCTGTGGCGTTCTGTGGGTGGAGCCTGTGGCGTTCTGTGGGTGGAGCCTGTGGCGTTCTGTGGGTGGAGCCTGTGGCGTTCTGTGGGTGGAGCCTGAGGCGTTCTGTGGGTGGAGCCTGAGGCGTTCTGTGGGTGGAGCCTGAGGCATTCTGTGGGTGGAGCCTTAGGCGTTCTGTGGGTGGAGCCTGTGGCGTTCTGTGGGTGGAGCCTGTGGCTTTAAAAGCAGAACTCTGTTCAACAGGGAGGCAGTCTGCAGCTAGACTCTGGAGAACTCACACTGGAGGTGATACACGCTGAATGAAAGTACTGCTGTGTTGATTTTAACATGCCATGGATCCAAGGTCTTTTGTATATATTTTGCACCAAAGTGGCATTTTGTTTACTGAATAGATAATAAAATTCACTGAAGTGAATTTTTTTTTGTGGGTCGCCCAAGTCATAAGAGAATCCCGTCACAGTTACAAAAAAGCGAGAGAGAGAAAAGTGTTTTGACCCCACCTACTGATTGACTGCAACATAGTCGGTAGCCTGCTTGCCTGGGTTTGTTCATCACCACCAATACGATGCACCTGTTTCACTTCTCCCATTAAACACCAAGTTAACTAAAAGCTCTCCCTCTTCAGATGCCAAATAAGCTGCATTTCCCTCCCAATTCTTTTTTTCTTTTGCATAATGACCAGTTGTGTGCACCTATAGTTTGTGAAGTAGATTAATCGTAACGGCTTTTTTTCTTCATGTTTTCCGCATTTTCTATACTGACTATTTATTTTTCTCATTTTCAGCACTGACCTTACTGAAAGGGAAAACTTAAGGCTTACAAAAACTTTGTATTTTCTGTCCTGGAGGGTTTACTAAGAAGCTGGTTGTTGTAAAGCAGGTTAAGTTAATCTTGTGGTTTAGGTAAAGCACCTAATGTTCTTAACTAAATGATGCCTGCAGGTTTATCTATTAGCAGGTTTCATTTTGCCTGCACTTGGTTGTGTACATTATTTTAAGTGTATTTGACAAGTTTACCAAAATATAAAAAATGTCATTCAAACTCCATTTGCCTTGTTTTACTTTTTACTTGTACTTTTCATTACATTACTTGAGTACATCCATTTTTACAGTAACTTCCATACTTAAGTACAAGACATTTCAGATACTTTAAGACTTTAACTCAAGTAACATTTCAGTGACTTGGACTTTTACCAAAGTCATATTTTGGAGAGGTACCTATACTTTCACTTCACTCTGAGATTTCAGTACTTTATACAACATTGCAAGTTGCAACTATGACCATGACAAGAAGCAGGAAGCTGTTAAAATATGGATGTTCATTTTAAAGCACCGGGACAGGTTTACAAAAACTCAGAAACAACTCTTCTCCAGATCGTGCTTTGAAAGCCAGCTCCAAGTGGCGGGTACATCCAAACACAGGTTGATTTATCCTCCACTCACTGCAGCTGTGTTTTGCTTTGCATGTGGTATTTTTAACAACATTAGAAGTCAGCGACGCTTTGATACGGGTTTCCTGACTAGAAACGAACAGACTGTCCGTCTGATTTACACTCTGTCTATGTGGAGGCGCGTCGAGGGTTGTTGCTGCGCATTCCGAGCGTCTAGTGCGGTGCAATTTCAACCATTTGACGCATCAAGCACATCCGACGCTCCACATAGAATTTGAATGGAAACCTGACGCTCAAAATGCGTTTGATAACGCACCAATAGCCTCCAGCAGCAGGAGG